TGACTACAACATATATCTTCCATACATCTGATTGTTCAGATATGGGATTTTACTGTAAAACTCCTTTATTTGAACAGCTAAAACCGATAAATTTCGTAAGATATTTTATAAATAATAATACAAAGTCTACTGTGAAAATCGTCAAAATCTATGCTGTATAAGCTTTAGCTCCTATAGCACTGATTGTTAAGATACCAGTTTTTGCCATATATCTCCTTTATGTACGAAACTAAACCCAATAAATTGTGTTACCGGTTTACATACCGATCACATAGCGGTGAAATCACTTAGATTGGTGTCATATAAAGTATATCTTCCATACCTCTGATTGTTTAGATGCGATTTTTTATATAAGTATGTAACTCCTCTATCGATGTATGCAGATGTATTCAAAAGCAGTAATCTGTCAAAGTAAAGTTTGCAGATGTTCATGAAAGGTATGAGGCCTTCGGCATAGCCGAAGACAGCGCTGCTCTTACTTGTTTTTATTAACTTCATCATATATGAATTTAATTTTTTTCAACCTGAATAGTTGTCAAACTTTATGGAGTCCGCTGTAAATTTGAAGATGGAAACACCAAGACTGTAGAATTTACTAGTTTTTTCATACCTGCATACATAAAATTTAGTATACCCTTTAGTCTTACCCATATTCTTCTGCATCTCCTTATTCCCCCTTACGTTTATATTTACCTTCATCATCTTCTTCATATTCAGCATTTTCTCCATCTTCATCTTCATCTTCTCCTATCTTATTTAAAGTTATCTCTGTTTGTATTTGTATTGGTGTTTCATTTGAAACAATTAAAAAATAATAATAAAAGAGTACTTAAGAACTTAGGATGTTTTTTCTTTACGCAACAAATGCAAAAACAAATCTAATTGTGAAAGTAAATCTAAATATGCATGAGAATATTATACCGCATTAAACAATGAAGTCGCTTTACTAAAATGCTATAATTATTGCCATACGCTCATGACATAATTGTGCCAAATTTTCATATCTTTGTCTCATTATCTTTAATATGTTTTGTTTCAATAAACAAAACAATAAACCACCAATGCAAAAAAAAAACAATAAAAAAAAACACTTTAGAAAAATACCCACATTAACTCCTCCACCAAATACCCATTTGTATTCATAGCCAGCGCAAAGAGTGCGCTCTAAACGGTTTCATTACTTTCAATTAACTAACATAATAGCACAAAAATTCAATTACCACAATTACTGCTTTAATATCTCACGCTTACCAGTACTAGCGTACTAGCAGAAATCTACAGTACCAACATTTTGCTAAAATTTTAAGAAAATGTTTTATTTTTTGATTTTGCTGGGACTTGGGTTTTTCACTAATCATGTGGCAGGTTGGCTGGTTGGTTGGCAGCAACGGCAATGTTCAACTTCATTGTTTTATCTTTTTTTTCGTTTTTGCTTTTTGCCATTTATCGTTCGTTGTTGGCTGCCTAATTTTATAATGAGCCAACCTACGCATGTCACATTTCGCGCACGCGCATCGTCATTCTCGCTGTTATTACGGTTGCTGCTCCTGCTGCTGCTTTTGTTGCTATTTGATGTACTTGCTGCTGTCGTTGTTGTTGTTGATGTTGTTTCATGTAGTCGTCGCCTTCATTGTCACAATGCAAAACATGACAAGCAACAGCAGCGACTTGTTGCATGGCAGCATACAAATGACAGTTGGGTACACCAAAAGGAGGCAAAATGTTGGCAAATTATGTTAGGCAGAGTCATTGCTGTCCGTATGTTGGATATAAGGTAGAGCGTAGACACTTCTTTTGGAGGAATGAATACACAATTTTTGAACACAAAAAGACAGAAAGTTTTTCAACAAGTCATTCCTTATTGAAAATGTTAAAATTTTTTATAAGCTCAGACATATTTTGCCACATTTAATTTTTTCCCAGGTCAAGGTGGTTTAACTAGGATTTCAAAAAACCAAAAAGTCTTGACTCAAACTGACTGGTAAAAACATGGGCTAACAGTGGAATTCTGGACACTGTATTTCATCTCTCCGCAATTTCTCGAAATATAAACTTCTTTCCTAAGGCAATTGTCAATTCTAGCAATTCTGTATTTCGAAAGACTAATTGAAAGATCTGCTAGTGAAGAGGTCTTATCGTGTTTCTGTTTGTCATTAAGCAATAAGTTTTTGAAAAGTTAATCAAATCGGACTGCCTAGCCATTTAGTTATCGATATTTTTACACATTTTGTTATCGATATTTATCGATTTTTTTATCGATATTTTTATCGATATTTATCGATTTTTTTATCGATATCTATCGATTTTGTTATCGATATTTATCGATTTGGTTATCGATTTTGATATCAATATTTATCGATTTGTTATCGATATTTATCGATTTCGTTATCGATTTTGCTATCGATATTTTAATCGATTTTGTTATGGATATTTTTATCGATTTTGTTATGGTTATTTTTATCGATATTCTTATCGAGTTTCTAATAGATTTTGCTACCAATATTATTATCGATTTTGCTATCGAAATATTTATCGAATTTTTCATCGATTTTGTTATCGATATTTTAATCGGTTTTGTTACCGAAATTTTATTGGATGTTACTATCGACTTTGTTATCGAAAGAGTATAAATATAAAAATGAATGTAAAGAAAAACAGAATAACACAAATGTAATTAGAACGAACAGGGGTAGAGGTAGGGATCTAGATAGAAAAAAGACAAAAAATATAACCTTAAGCAAAAGCAGATGTATGTATGTATGTATGTATGTACATATGTATGTATGTATATTGGTTATGAGACGAAATAGATATATATGTAACGTAAGTTTCACTTCTCCTTCGATGCTACTGTAGTCGAAGATATCGCATATAAATATTGGTCCCGATTTGAGACAATTAAGGCGTGTCGCACAGGGGGCAAAGTTCAGATCCCTCTATGAAAACGTAAAATGACAGTCGGTTACACTGCAAACGGGACCAAAATTTATATGTGATATCTTCGACTTTAGTAGTATCGATTCTGGGAATGAAATGAAAAAAATAGTTTTAATTTTTTGCGTCTCCATAGAGGCATATGGCTTTTGACCCCTTTGTTCACTTGATTTTTTAAGGACCACCCTAATGTACATATACAAAGCTTGTAAAAATAAAATTAAATTCCTTTTTAAACCTTAAAAAATAAAAATTTTAAGAAAACTAATTGAATTCACTAAAATAAAATACATTAAAAAAGGTCCCAAAATTTAAATAAAAGTAAAAAAATTAGCTTTTTAAAGTAATATAATTTAAAAATTTAACTAATTAATTAATTATTAAAAACTTAACCCTTTTGCAAGCGCCAGATTAGCGGCTCCGATTGAAAAAATAGTTGCGTGAGGTATCTTGTACTTCCAAGAAAACAATACAACTTCCCGCTCGCCAAAATTTACAGTGAGTCTACTGTTAGCAAGTTACCAGGCTCAAGTAACCCAAGATCAGATCAAAAAGGGTATCCAGGAATTTATCCATCACTGAAAGTCCTCTGGCAGACCGTTTACGACCACAATCCCAAGAAGGAGTAGGGCGATATAGAGGCAAAGAGTAAGACTCAATCAGAGAAATCGAAAGACCCACAAAATTACATACATCAAAACTTTTCGAAAAAAAGCCTAAATAGAAATTGTTCAGTTCCGGAAGTTCCTTAAACTAAGCGAAAGGTCTGTATATTTATACATACATATAGTATACCGAAACGACCTGAAACAATAAAGAAAAGTTTTAGAAGGATTGGACAAAAGCCCTCACAGTTTTGAAAAAATATTCAACGTATCCCAAACAACACACACAACTTTCTAAAAAAAAAAAAACTTTAAAAAATCTAAAAACCCAGGCAGTTCTGGTAAGATTGGCACAACACATTTTAAATGAAATATGTTTGGGTAGAGAGACAAACTCAAAAATTTTGACGATCATAAAATTGGGGCACCATTTATGCCAAATTTAAGGCAAAATCTCAAACATCTGATTCGGCCTCCAGTCCCTTTATTTGTATCTGAAATATATACATAAGTGTAAATTTATTTATTTCCCTTTTGAAGAAGTCTCAAAAATAGTGTTTTATTTGTTTTTGATATAATAAATGAAAGGATCGTCTAAAACTTTTTCAAAAAAGTTGCATGTTTATAGATTTGCCAATGCTTTTCTGAAAGAGCGATGTACTCGTAGCTTTGAAGAATACGGCTCTGTTTATTTTAAAGTTACTAAGGGCCCAATTCACAGTGCCTAGTTAACTCACAATCGCCAGTTAACTACAGATTTTTGTACTGAGTTAATTACGCACAGTGAATTTGGCCCTAAGTGAGTGTGGTTCTAACCAAGGTTGGGGGAAAAATTGATTTTTTTTTTCTAAGCACTTAGTAGTGATGTTTGAAATACACATTATTGATATTTGAAATACACATATTGTGATAGTGGAATTTTAAATTTCGATTTAGTGCAATTTGCCCAACCGTGGTTCTAGCCTAGAGTCTCTACCGTAACATACTTTCATTTCATTACGATCTTCATTGTGAATTACTTTTTCTTTATCTGAGTTTCCAGCATACATACTATATATATATATGTAATCATATTGAAACATTGACAACAAATGGCACTTCGTAACACTTCACATTCGTCTCAGCTGATTTGCATGAAATATATGTACAATAGCACTCTTACCTGCGAGCTCAACTGTCTGCTGACATTTGAATTTTTTGTTTTTGTGTCATTTGTTTATCATTGGAAAAATGTCAAAAGCATGCAACGGCAAATGGGAGTGGCAACAGTCGGCAGTGGCTGCCATAAAATCAGACAACTGCAGCACATTGCACACAGCGTAGGTGTTTCCCATGCTTGTCATTTCATTTCAAAGCGCAATTGTTGCCTTTTATTAGCTCCATAAGGGTGTACTTTTTTTCCGAAGATCGTACCTTAGCTAATAATGTTGCCGTTGTTTTACGCATTGTTGTTTTATATTTCTTATTGCATGTTAGCTTTTGTTGTTGTTGTAAGCAAACATGCCCATCTGCGCTAAACGTTGCGCAGGTGGACGGAAGTTAAATGGTTAGCGTGCCAAATTTACGCCCAACGCCAGGCAATAAATTCGTAGTTGCTAATTTTATTGCTACACTCAGGCCGGCGTGGCCCACGAAGGCTGATGCGTATGCTGCTTGACTCGCATATGCTACCGGCAGCCAGTTTTGTGTGAATGAATGGCGTACTATGTATGCAAAGCGATAAGCGTGTGTGATATTTATTTTCACGACTTAGTTATACTTTATATTGAGGAGTGGATTATCCGTAGACAGATGGAAAGTACGTTTTTTTTTTGTACACATTAATGAATTTAAGTGCAATCCGACCATCTTGACGCTAATTTGAAAAACCCATACAACAAAAGTATTATTTGATTAGGACATATGTAGCGTTTTTTGAATTTCTCTTAAGTGAAATAAAAATAACAAAATAAAACAATTTTTATTTGAGTATCATTAGCAAGGGGTTATTTATTTATTTTTTTTTTCAAAATTGCCCTATACAGTCAAAGCTAGGCTCATTTCAAATATGGAGCGTTCCGCTACAATAAGGATATTTTTATTTTTTTTACGTAACGTTCTGTTATGAGATATAAGGAGTTATATGGAAGCACCTCGAAAATACTTCTCAAATTCAGATATTTTTTTGAAAATAAAACCAGACATATATAGGAACTTTTTCAATAAAAACCCAGAAAGATCGTACATATCGAGCCCTAACCGCCAAGAAGAGGTAAGCGACATTTTTATACATCTACATCTAGATGTAGGAACATCTCTGCACCAATAAGCAAATGTTATTAAAATGTCGCTAACGTATTTTTGGCGGTTAGCATTCGGTATCGTTAAGATATACATATGCACAATAAAATTTTAAAAACCGAATTTCCTAACCGTTTGTGGACCTCCGAAACGCAGCCGATTTTGGGAAATAGATTAACCCTTAAATACGGTTGTT